GCTGTTATTCCAGGCTTTCAGGGACAGTTCAGGATACAGACCTGCAAGCTTTCAGTGCTCCTGTAGTGATTCTATCCAGGGAAAAATCTGATTCTTGACCTCCTAGTATGAGCTCTACATGTTCCTGACTTGGTTTTGTGTCTGGCAAATACACTTATGGGATTGTTCAAGTTAGTGTTCCAGTAAACTCCTGCTAGACTCAGCCACTGTCACTCAGATGGAAAGCTCTGCTGGTTCAGAGCAACTTAACTGCAGGCTGCACTTTGATTTGGAATTCCTATCCCAATTATTTCACTGAAGGCTTCAGATTGAGGTGGATGCTGGAATTGACACCCCACTCTACCCCAAAATTCAAAGCCATACTATTTGCTTCTAAACTTATTCCTTCCTCAGTACATACTCAGGGCCACAAGTACACCTCATCCTGGAAAGGCACTCCTAGAAACAGTTCCCACCCCCACTCTTCCCTAGTTCTGTGACCTAGAAGTGGGTAATGAATGAGCAAGCTGCCAATTGCCACCTGTTCCTGTATCCTGATCAAGGTAAAGCCCTTCTGTCTAGGATCTGGAATCTCTCCTTGCCCTCATGAACAGCATGTCCCTGTGCTACAAATGCTCTGTTTGGACATTACTGGGTAAACCCTGTCTCCAGCTCTCTTTCTTTCACCCCATACCAACTTGGGCTGAAAAAAATGACTCAATTTGGTTTTTCCTTGGAATTCTCAATGAAGATTCTGGTGAATTGTCTAGATCTATATGGTAGAATTACATTGGCTATATTTATTCTTGATACTCTACCATCCTGGCTTTGCCTGCAAAATTCCTTCAATTAATTTTTGGTTCTACTTTTATGGTCATTAATTAAACAGAATTTTAATTCATTGTTGTCAGTTAAGTATTTGATATTTTTGCTATTCTTCATTTGTGTTACATGGTTAATATTTTAAAAAATATACCATGTTGTACTAAGGAATATGCACGCTTCTACTTCCAAACAATAATAGAATGGATATATATGGCCAGATATTTATCACATCTTGTTTTTCAAGAATTCTACTCAGTTCCTTAACTTTTTTTCTTGTTTATTGTTTTGTTAGATTGTGTAGTGTAACAGGTATATTTTAATCCTCCATTATTGTAGTCTTTACTATCTATTTCTTGTCACTCATTTAGCTCTTCCTTATGTTTTTAGATGCTATGTTATTTAGTACATATGTTAAATTTTTATGTTATTCATTCTCTGCCTATTATAACTTTCAGCATAATGTAGTTTTCCTATTTATCTCTCTTAATTAAATCTATTTTAACTTGCCTTCTCTGGAGATTACTGCTATCCCTAAGGCCCTTAGGTTCAAGGTCCTGGACTATCTCCACTGAAGTCTGAGGGAAGGTTTATGATTCAATGTCAATCATTCACCAATCATTCTAAAAGCGTTTATTATTATAAAGTGAGAACATTCAGCATTCTAACTTGCCAGCTTCTCTTTTGAGACAAATAAATGCAATCTGTGTAAACTGTGATCAGATTCTTGTTCATTCCCAGTTTCCCTTTTAGATCTGGAATTTCTTCCATTTAACACTTCACAGGGGCTTTTCTTTAATACATAAAATGTTCTGTGATTCTTGTCTATGTCCTCTCATAAAGGGGAAAGGGGGGAGAATGAGCATTTGTTAAACTTCTACTATGTACCAGGCACTATGCTAAGTGCCCTACAAACATTATCTCACTTGATTCTCACAGCAACTCTTGTGAGAAAAAAATGTTATTATTATGCCCACTTTACAGATGAAGAAACTGAGGCAAACAGCAGATAAGTGACTTCCTCAGGGTCATACAGCTAGTAAATGTCTGAGGTTGGATTTGAACTCAGGTTTGGTTTTTTTGTTTTGTTTTGTTTTGTTTTTTGGTGAGGCAATTGGGGTTAAGTGACTTACTTGCCCAGGGTCACACAGCTAGTGAGCGTTATGTGTCTGAGGCCAGATATGAACTCAGGTCCTCCTGACTCTAGGGCCAGTGCTTTATCGACTCTACCATCTAGCTGCCCCTAAACTCAGGTTTTCCTGAGTTAGGGCCCAGTGCTTTATCTACTGTGCCACCTAACTGCCTAAATCAGGATTCATTAATCACTTAAAGGGCTCCCACCCAGGACTTTCCTTTAGATTTGACAGTTCATGGATTACAAAAGAATACAAAGGAACACAGTTATCATGATCAAAGCTTTTGACAGACTAGAACATTGAGTCAAATCAAATAAGTTGAACTTTAATGGGACAAATGTAAAATTTGACTTCAGGGTTCAAAAAATCAGTTTCACAAATATTACACAGGAAAAGCATGGCTAGATAGAAGTTCATCTGAAAAAAAGATCTGGGGTAAGTAATGGATTGCAAATTGGATGTGTCAGCATTGTCAATTAGCTAATATCTTCTTACACTTCAGTAAGAGAAGAATAGATCTCAGGAATATGAATGCAATAGTTGTCTGCCTCTGTATTTTGCCTCTGTATAGCAATGATAATCATTATTTTGTCAAATTAAATGAAAGCTTATTTATACTTACATCCCTTGTGGGCCAATGTGTCCTTAGGACATGAGGAAATGCCACCATGGAGTAGACCTGTGGTGTCAAACTCAAATAGAAACAGATCTTCTATCCCTGTGGGCTGCTTAATGACTTAGAAAACCACAAATCAATAATATCTAAGTGGTATTGTACTTTTATTTATTTTGTTAATATTTCCCAATCATATTTAATCTGCTTCAGGCCACACTTGGTATTTTGGAGCCATGAGTTTGACACCTCTGGAGCAGATTAAAAGGGGGAGCATTCATACTATTGATGTGTGAGTCATTGCAAAAGGTTTAAATTCTATACTAACTCTATCTGCCTTGTAGATGGTAGACATGTACAGCATTTCTTAAGTTTTACCTTTTTGTTTAAGTTTCTCTTCCCCAGGGATTTGTTTCCCTTAGTCTTTAAATTTCTGACCAAAGATTCATTCACAGGTACTATATTCTAGTGGTTCGGAATGCCAAAGTGCATTCCTGGTTCACTTTTATCAACAGAGCCCACAATACTCCTAAGAGTCAGGAGTCTAGGGTTGAAGGTGACACACAGTTATTTGTACTCTTGGTCAGGGGCCTACAGTGAATTAGATTCTCTGCTTGTAGGTGGACATCTGTTCCCATTTATGTTGGAATTCAACTTCCATTTACTCTATAACTTTAAGTGATTAATAGAGGTGCATTCTACACATCTTAATTCAACTCTAATGTTGATTCGCTTATCCATCAGCAGCAGTACCAAAGGTACTATGTTGTGGAGAAATGAAAATATACTTTTTGATGCTTCTATTAAATAATTGCAATAAGTCTATAAAATTTAGGGTTTTTCAACATTGTTCAGATCTATATTTTCTTTATTCTTATTTTTTCTTTTTTTTTAACTTACCAAGTCTGAAAGAGGAATGTTGAAAATCACCTATAGTTATTGTCTCCCTGTCAAAGTCTTTTTGCATCTTAGTTTTTCTTTAAGTACTTAGATACCATATCACTTGATGCATAGATATTTAACAACAATGTTGTTCCATTAATTATGATGATTTGAAGCATAATATTGTTTGTCTATTTCTAGTTGCTTTCTCTGGAATAGTAATTACAATGCCAGCTACTGCAGATTCATCTGATACAAAATGCATTTTATGCCAGTACTTCATTTTGATCCTCTATGTGGATTTTTATGTGTTCAATGCTTTTCTTGTATGTAGAAAATTGTTGAATTTCTGCTTTCAAATGTATTCAGATATTCTCTTTCATGTTATTGCAGAGTAGTCTATTAATATTCAAGGTTATTAAGTTCATGTTCCCCTTCACATCAAATTCTGTTATATTCATTTAATTTTCCTTCAGACCAGCACTAGGTACCCAAGGTTTGTTCTGCTTATACTGTTACTCATTCTGTTCATACCAGTCCAAGTCCAGTTTTCTGCTTTCCTTTTAGTCATAACTGCCTTGGTTTTGTCTGTGCAAAAAGTTTTTCATGTAATCAAAATTACCCATTTTACATTTTATAATACTTTCTATTTCTTGATTAGTCCAAAATTCTCCCCTTATCCATAGACCTGATGGTTAAACTATCCCATGCTCCCCTAATTTACTTACGGTATCACTCTTTATGTCTAAATCATGTACTCATTTTGACCTTATCTTGGTATATTGTGTGACATATTGGTCTATATCTAGTTTTTGCAAAACTGCTTTCCAGATTTCCCAGAAATTTTTTGTCAGATAGTGAGTTCTCATCCCTAGAGCTAGTATCTTAGCATTTATCAAACACTATATTACTGTGGTCTTTGCCTACTCTGTATTACTGACCCACCACTATTTCTTAGCCAGTACCAGATTGTTTTGATGATTACCACTTTATAATACTATTTGAGATCTGGTATGACTAGGCCACCTTTCTTCACTTTTTTTTTTCATTAATTCCCTTAATAGCTTTTACCTTTTGTTCTTCCAGATGAATTTTGTTATTTTTTTTCTAGTTCAATAAAATAATTTTTTATAGCTTGATTGGTATAGCACTGAGTAGGTAAATTAATTTAGGTAGGACTGTCAGGTTTGTCTTGGCAGGTAGACTCCTAAATATTTTATTGTCTATAGTTATTTTAAATTGAATTTCTTTTTTCTATCTCTTGCTGCTTCTATCTCTGTGCTGGTAATATATAGAAATGTTGATGATTTATGTGAGCTTATTTTATATCCTGCAGCTTTGCTCAAGTTGTTCACTATTTTGATTAGTTTTTTAGTAGATTCTCTAAGATCCTCCAACTATACCATCATATCATCTACAAAAACTAAGTTTTGTTTCTTCATTGCATATTTCTAATTCCTTCAATTTACTCCTGATCTTTTCATCCCAAACTAGAAGGCTTCATTATAGCATACTGCCCCATGAGGGCTACAGAGTTTATTCGTTAAGGGTACTCCTGGAACTTTCTGAAGTGAGGATGACTTGGTTTTTGAAGCAAAAGTGAAAGCAACTCTTCAGATTGCTTTGTCAGCCCAGTGGAGAAGACCGTTTCTATTTTTCTGGGAGAAGGTAAGCCTGGTTAGGGGCTGGGGAATAGCAGAAGATGTGGGAGGAGATTTGATTGGTTAGAGGAGTTAGGAGACTGAACACAGGAAGAAAAGGAGCAGGGATTTCAGGGTTTGGGATTGTGAGAAGAAGGATGCGTCAGTTTAATTCACATGTTTCGGTAATTTCTCTTTCCTTTAAGGGATTGTCAGTCTATCTGTCTTCCATTTAATAGCTTTCCTTCACTGAACATTAAGAAAGGAAATGGTCCTTGTTGTAATGATTTTTAGAAAAAAATATTCTCCCCCATGATTACCCCACCCCTGAATGATGGTCTAAGACTACACATATTCACTGGTTCCCTGAACAGAAGATAACTATGGATAGAATTTTGGACTAGGAAGATGTGGACTCAGATTCTACCCCAGGTATTTGTGGGTTGTATCACCTCCTGGCCTCAGTTTCCTCACTTGTAAAATAAGGAATTCAGATTTGATGATCTCCAAGGTCTCTTCCCCTGTTAAATCTATGCTTCCATGGTGCTTAATACAGATTAGTAGCAGTGGATGAGTTCTGGTCTGTTCAGCTCTATCCTAGAATCTAAATGGCAGCTTTGACAATCCTGGTGAACAGTTTCACTCGGGACAGTATATTACAGATCAGAAGGTGTTTGGTGAGTATGGAATTAAGTCAAAGGAAATAGAAGGTTCTTTTTTAAAAAAAAAGATATTTTTATTGATATCTTTTGTGTTTTCATTACCTACATTTCCTCACTCCGAAATCTTCTTTCCCCTTTCCCCTGCCAGACAACAAACCTTTAAAATAAATATATTTAAAAAGAAAGAAACAGAGGAAGGAGGAAAGAAATTCATCAAAATCCATCTACATGTTGGAAAAAAATTTATATGTGAACTCTGACCTCTGTTTTCTCTTTTTCAGGGCCAAAACTGTTTGCCAATATTTCATATCATTAAGTTTTAGGTGCTTTGTGGTGGTTGTTATTTCCATTTGTTTTTTTTTTTTTATTTTTTATTTTTTGGCTAGGCAATGGTGTTAAGTGACTTGCCTAGGATCACACAGCTAGTAAATGTTATGTGTCTGAGGCTGGATTTGAACTCAGGTCCTCCTGAATTCAGGTTCCTCCTATTGGTTCTAATTCTTACTTACAACATCACTAATGTGAAAATATGTTTAATTGGAATATATATGTATAGCCTATATGAGATTGTGCACTGTCTTGGGGAAGGAGGTGGGGAGGGAGGAGGAGAAAAAATTAAAACTCAAAAGCTTATGGAAGTGATTGTTGATAATTCAAAATTAATTAAAAGAAAAAAAGAAAAACCTGGAAAGACTTGTATGGACTGATGCTGAGTGAAATGAGCAGAATCTGGAGAATTGTGCACAGTAACAGCCACATTGTACGATGAATAACTTTGACAGATTTAGCTCTTCTCAGCAATGCAAGGATCTAAGATATCTCCAAAAATTTCGTGATGGAAAATGCTATCCACTTCTAGAGAAAGAACAATAGAGTTTGAATGCAGATCAAAGCCTACTATTTCCTCTTTTTTTTCTTTCTCTTTTGTTTTGTTTCTTATTTCTTGTAGTTCCTCCTGTTGGTTCTAATTCTTCCTTACCACATCACTAGTGTGAAAATATGTTTAATAGGAATGTATATGTAGAGCCTATATCAGATTGTAGCCTGTGTTGAGAAGGAAGGCAAGAAGGGTGGTGGAGAAAATTTAAAACTCAAAAGCTTATGGAAGTGATTGTTGAAAACTAAAAATAAATGAATTAATTAAAAAACAAATATGCATTATGATGCAGTGAAAACTAAAAAAAAAAGATTTTATATAGATAAGAAATGAGGCATATGAGTTAGAAGTTATAAATAACTTCTTGATCACCTTCTTTTGAATCATAAAATACAGTCAATCTTTAACACTGATGTTTGGATGATTTTTCCATTTTCCAAAATAAAATATGATTTTTTCATTACTTTAAAAAAAAAACAAAAACCTTGGGATTACCTTCTTTCTGCTCTCCACTCTGCCCCACCACTCCACCCCCCAGTTTAACTAAATTGACCCCATGTACCAGAAATCTAGTTATGACCAATGAAATACTTTCTTCCCTGGAAGAACACAAAGACCTTATTACTATTTGGCTCTCCTTTGTCTAGATTCTATATAAACCAATGAGCAACCATTAATTTGCACTTTGCAAATGAAAAAGTACCTTTTCTTAATGCAATGGATAAAGAGGTCATAGACATAGAAAAGGAAAAGATCTGAGTCATAGAGCAGTCAGTGCTCCAAGCAGACAGGCTTGGGCATGGGGCCAGGCCTGCCAGGGGCCTTGGTACGTGGAATACTCTTTCCTTTCCTTTGCCTACTGTAATCTAACCAGTCTTTCTAAGCCTAGTTCAAGTCACACATTTGTTGTTCATAAACAATGTGCAAAGTGCTGTGCTAGGCTTGGTGGGAGTGCAGAGGTGGGGGACACAGAGATGTATAAGACACAGGCCTGCCCTCAAGGGGCTGTGAATTGAGCAATGGAAATACAAGATGTATTCAGATGACTTTAAGAAAAGTCATGATAGATCCTCTGAAAGGCAGACAACATGGGCTATAGAAGACAGAGAAGGGGCAGATCACTCCTAGGGAAGGTGGTCTGGGAAGGCTTCATGGAAAAAGTACTTTCTACCCAGTAGTTGGATAGAGCAATATAAATTTGCTAATGAATTATGAGTGTTTTGCTAACTGTCTAAACTTAAATATTTTTCTTTTCTTCCTCCCAAACCCTCAAAGATGGCTGCTACATCGAGTCAATCTGCCACCTCAGTGAGTATCACTTTCCTCAGTTCCTTCAGCACCCTAGAACCAGATCAAAGTCAACTCTCTCCTGCTGCCTGAAAATGCCACCAGACAGATGGAGGTTAGGGATTCTTGCCGATGAGGGAGTGCAGAAAGTTCTTTCCCAGGTCTCCCCACACTATGCCATGGGCACTTTTCTCTAAAAGAAACAACATCCCACTTTACTGTGGATGAAACTTTTTCCACACCCCATATTAAAAAGCACAATAATCAGTTTCTGAGAATACATTAGCAAACTAGAGTTGAACTCGAAGTAAAACACAAAAATAAAATTCTGAATATATAAAATTTAGTACAGTATCATCATCTTGGGATTCAGTTTGAATGTGGAGTAAGGGACCCCTCGACTTCCTTGTTGTTCCCTTCTCTTACCAATCCCCTTTCCTGTGCTTTCTGGCTCCTTCCTATTCCCTATCTGCTTTCAACCTTCCTTCTAAAGAGCTTCAGAAATCAACAGTCCCTCTGTCTAAAGCCTCTCTTTGTTCTTTTCTCTGCTATTCACACTTAGGCATCATAGGTGCCACTCTGTCAGTGTCCTATTCTCAGCTAACAGGTCATCTGACCAATTTATCACTTCTTAGAGTCAGAAGGGTAAGGGGTTCAGTGGTTAGAGCACTGGATGGCAATCAGGAAGACCTGAATCAAAATCTTCCTCAGACACTTACAAGCTATGTTATCCCAGGTAAGTAACTTAACCTTTGCCTGCCCCAATTTTCTTATCTCTAAAAGAGACATAATAATTACACTTACCTCCTAGAGTTACTGTAATGATTAAATGAGATAATATTTGTGGAGCAGGATACAAATGACAGTTTGTATTATTAACTAAAAAATAAATGGTTGATAATAGCTTTATTAGATTCTCCTTTCCAGAGACCATTATTTGCATTTTAATAGAATGTCAACTCAGCCCAGAGGAATCAATGATGAAAGAATTGTATTAGAGTAAGATGGGTCTTCTCTGCCTCTCCGCAGCCCATCATATCCCCACCAAAGAAGCCCTCCTTCAACAAAGTCAATTTCTTACTCTGCCTATATAAAAGGACAGTGTTGTGTGTCAGTACACTTAAACCATAGACCTACAACTGTTAGAGCAAAAGGTTCTATGGAGATTATTTTGTCCACCCCGCTCGTTGTATAGATAGAGACATCAGAGCTCAGGGGGCTGAGTCGTATTCACAAATGACAGCTAAGAGGTGGTACGGGATAAGAACTTTTCAAGTGGTATATACAAAATTCTGGGGTGGTTTCAGTGGAAAGAAAAATCACTTTTAGCCAGGGTGACTAGGGGAAGAACTGGGATGTGAGCTAAGCTTTGAAGGATGGGTAAGGTTCTAATATGGGAAGGCTGGGGAAAATATTGTCTAGATGTAAAGAAAAACAAGAGCAAAGGATTGATATTAGGAAAAAATAAGTCATTTGGGGGAGTAGGGCATCATTTACTTTATGTGAACTATAGAGTATGGGGGCATAGTCTGTCAGTTGGTAAGCACTTATAAGCACAATTGCTCTGTGCCAGATGTTGTGCTAAGTTCTGGGGATATAAAGAAATCCCCCACAAAAAAACCCCACTATATGTGCCCTAGAGAAGTTCACATTTTAATGGGAAAGACAATATGCAACTATGTGCATATAAGATATAAATGGTGCAAATGGAAGGTGATCTCAAGAGGAAAAGCACTGGGGTTGGGGGTTTGGGAATTGGAAAAGTCTTCTGCAGAAGGGGTAATCTGAGTTGAGTCTTGAAGAAAGCCAGGGAAGCCAGGAGGCTTTCGTAAAGAAGGAGAGCATATCAGGAAACAGCTAGTGAAAAGGCAAGGGAGACAGGAGGTGGAGCTTCCTTGCAGAGAAACAGCCAGAAAGACAGGTTTCACTGAGTCACAAAGCCCATCTGGTGGAGAAAAGTATAAGAAGTCTGGAAAAGGAAGGAGCGGACAAGTTGCAAAGGTCTTTCAATGTCAAATGAGAGTGTTGTAGTTGATGGAGCTTATTGAGTAAAGTTATAAAACATAGTTATACCTGCAATTTAGGAAATTTAATTTAGCAGTTGAGTGGAAGAAAGAGTATAGTTGGGAGCGACTTGAAGCCAAGAGACTAATTAGAAAGTTATTGAAATAGCCCAGGCCTGGATGATGGAAGAGAGCCTGCCATGGGTTGGTGGCTGTGTGAGCAGAGAGAAGGTAATATTGAGATGTTGTGATCTGGGTACAGAGAGTTTTGGTAACAGATTGGATCCTGAGAGTGATAGAGAGTGAGGAGTAAATCAAAGGTCACACCTAGGTGGTAAGCCCAGGTGCCTGGGAAGATAGCAATATACAGTTCTTTAAGAGAAGCTTATAAAAGCCCACTTTGTTCTGTAGGCATTGGATTGTTGTTATTGTTTTTTTTTTTTTACTACTATAGGCCTCAGCTTCTTCTTAACAATTAATGTCTTCCCTATTCACAATGTCCTTATGAGGGCTGAAATGAAATAATGGATGCAGAAGTGATTTGAAATAGTTATAATCATCATATAAACATGAGGGATTATTCTTGGCTCTCTATGAAAGAAAGCTTGAAGCCCCATCTATGGACACTGTGATTTTGGGATCATACTCGATTTAGTCTCGTAATCCAGGTAGGGTCATGGCCAGGTATTAGCCACAGCTAGAACTGGTTCTGTCTAGAATAGTATTGGTTCTCCAACCAATCTAGAAACAAAAAATGAATGTGTCAGAGATATAAACATAAAGAGAGGAGGCAGCCACACCTTTGTGTGATAAGAGTCATTAATAGCATCTCTTACTCAAAATATCAGTCCCTTCATCTTGTCCTGATGTCTGAAATCCCTCTCTCAGAACTTAGTTCCTTTACACCAAATCATTACTTTTCTAGGCAAATGAATATAATGCAAATGACTCAGGGACTGGTAACATTTTATACCATGATTTACCATTAATACCTCATCATGACCTCATCATGAATTGTTTTATCAGAGAATCAAAAGTCAAACAACTTGCAGGATACTCAAGAATAGGAGTTGAGCCAGATAAATGTTAATAGGTAAGATAAAATGGAATTGTTGCAGCCTGAGTTGACAGTGGCACTAAGATCAGTCTAATGCTTATTGGATATCGGTTTGGAGAGGGGAGTCACAAAAAAAAGGAGAGAAACTCAGTAAGGGGAAGTAGGAGGAAGTTTGCTCATCCTACATTTTTGATAAATGCCAATCCCACCAGTGCAATTGGGGAGAGGTGTAGAGAGGGGTTTCCTTCCCTGTTGCATGTGATTTAGGCAAAACTATCAGTCCATTGGAAGCAGCGTAAGTCCTAGAGAAACAAACCAGCCAATTAACCCAAATCAACTGTAACTACAGAAATATATAAAACAAGGAGATTTGATTGGAAGAGAAGAATCAGTCATTCAGCCCAAGAATACTTAGCCAGCACCTACTATGCATCCATTCCTGTTTTAGAAGTTGTGGAAACATTGTGCAATGACTAATATTGATAGACTTAACCCTTCTCAGCAATCAATACAAGGATCTAAGACATCTTCAAAGGCCTCATGGTGGAAAATGCTATCCACATTCAAAGAAAGAACTATGGAGTTTGAATGTAGATTGTAGCATACTACTTGCTGTTTTTTTTTTCTTCTGTTGTGTTTTGTTTCCTCTTTCTGGTGGTTCTTCCTATTGGTTCTAATTCTTACCTACAACAGCACTAATATGAAAATATGTTTAATAGGAATATATATGTATAGCCTATATCAGATTGTGCGCCATCTTTGGGAGGAAGGTGGGGAGGGAGGGAGAGAAAAATTTAAAACTCAAAAGCTTATGGAAGTGATTGTTGATAATTCAAAATAAATTAATTAAAAATTAAAAAAAAAGAAGTTGTGGAGAGAGAAAGGAACAAGAAGACATGACCCTGGCTAACAAGGATCTTTAGGTCTAACTAGGGAGTCAAACTGAAAAAAATAGTATGTAATAAATGCCAAATTGTGTGGAGCAAACTGTGATTCTTGCCATCTGACTTTAGGGATTTAGATTTTTAAGTTATCCCTCAAAAGTCTCTTTGGTCCTTTTAGGTACTTTGCCTCCAATTAGAAAATGTTACCATCAGAGTACAGAGGTGCTTCAGTTATAACCAAGTCATAACCAAGCAGTCTAAATTGTAGATGTATGCCAAGCTCAGGCAAATGATGCAACCAGTGAATGTCGGTCAGTTTTTGAACCCAAGTCTTCTGACTCTGAGTCTCATACTCAACTCATAACTTTGCGCCAAGTAAAAGATAACCAAGTTTTTTTAAAATAAATTAAAACCATTAAACATAAAAATTGAATGAATGAGTAAGTGGGATAGGTATAGGGAGGAGACCTGTGACTTCATTGGCAAAAGCAAGTCTGTCAAGTCAACAGGCATTTATTAAGTACCTACTATGTGCCAGACATTGGGCATAATGGTAGGGATCCAAAGAAAGACAAAATCAGTCCCTGCCTCAAGGAGCTCACCAACTAATGGGGGAGACAACAGGCAAGCAATTCTGTCAAATGATATGTGTAGAAATAAATTGGAAATTCTCTGAGAGGGGAGGCAGTGAGATGGCACAGAGTGGGATTTTAGCAGGGACTTGAAGGAAGCCAGGAAAGCCAATAAACAAGAGAAAGAGAATTCAAGGAATGAGGGACAGCCCATGAAAATGCAAAGAGGTGGGAGATAGAGTGAGTGTTTTGTGTAAGGGAGAAGGCCAAAGTCACTGGATTGCGGGGAGGATTAACATTTAAAGACTGGAGAAGTAGGACAGAGCCAGGTTCTCAGGGACTTCAAATACCCAAGAGAGTAATTTCTATTTGATGCTAAAAGTAATAGGGAGCAACTAGAATTTTTTGAGCAGGGGAGAGACCTATATGGTCAGATGTGTGCTATAGGAAGATCACTATGACAGCTGAGTAGAGGATGGGGTGCTGAAAGATTTGAAGAAGAGGGGAAAAGACTCAATAGTTCAGAACTCATGTGAGGAAACTCTCTCTACCAATGCAAATTGGCACTTTCTTTGCACCTTATAGTCTTAAAGTGAGAGCTACAGGTTTAAGTAACTTGCCTAAGGTCACACAGAAAGCATGTGTTAGAGATGGACAGGGATAGAACCCAGAGTATCCTGGCTTCAAGGTCAGCTCTCTATCTACTGCACCACCTTGTCTCTTTAAAATGACTAAATACTATGATTAAATGACATGGTAAATTTTGAAAGAAAACAAAGTACAGTTGAGTGTCTTTTGTATTAATCTTTAAAAGTTATAGATTTATTCTCATCTCTATACATCCATTCACAGATCTAAATGAGAAAGTTTTTTTTTAACTCAGTCTACTTTTAACATTGATTCAAAAGTCAGTCCTAATCTATATGCAACTCTGGGGTTCTGAAACTTCAGGCCAGATTGGGATCAAAAGCCCTAGTAATTGACTTTTTTTTATTTTTAATAACTAACCTTCTGTAGTTCCCTCCCATATTTGTTAACCATCACATAAAGTTTTGAACTGATCAAAATTTTTCCCACAGTTCCATGATGAGGGTGTGGATGCTGATCAGGCCAGTGCCCTGAGGATTGTCCTGGTTGGGAAAACTGGAAATGGGAAAAGTGCAACAGGGAATACCATCCTTGGGAAGAAAGTTTTTGAATCTAAAATTGCGCCACATGCTGTGACCAAGAACTGTGAAAAAGCAGTTGGAACCTGGAAAGGGAGAGACCTTATAATCATTGACACACCTGGGCTGTTTGACACAAAGGAAAACCTAGAAACCACTTGCAATGAGATCAGTCGCTGTGTCATCTATTCCTGTCCAGGGCCACATGCCATCATTCTGGTTCAACAACTGAATCGATACACTGATGAAGCAAAACAGACTGTCTCTTTGATTAAGGCACTCTTTGGGGAAGCAGCCACAAACTACATGGTCATCTTGTTCACTCGGAAAGAGGACTTGGAAAATACACTAGAGGGCTTTCTGGAGGAAGCTGATGAGAGCATGCAAAGTCTTGTCCGAGAGTGTAATAGAAGGTATTGTGCTTTTAGTAACAAAGCTGAGGGCAATGAAAGAGAAGTCCAAGTGAATAAGCTGCTAGCCATAATTGAGAAAATGGTGCAGGATAATGAGGGGAAATATTTTTCAGAAAAAATATACCAGAAAGCTCATGAGTCATTGAAAAATAGGAGAAAGGCCCTGAGGGAAATCTATGCCCAACAAAAAGAAAATGATCTGCGAATTATAGAATTAGAGTATGCTAACATTGTTCCTCTGACAAAAGAGAGAAAAAGACAAAAGAAAGAAAAAAAAACAAAGGTAAAGAAGGAATATGAAGAAAAAATTAAAAATATAAACAAAGAAGCTGAGAAGTGTGTATTTGAACTAATATTTCAGTTCATTAAGGATCTGATTTCTAAAATTCCTGGTTGGTTCAGGAAATGATGGTCCACCTGGTTTGTTTGTTTTATTTTTCATTAATTTCTCAGTGGATGGGGGAGGGAATGGGAAGGAAAGAGAAGTTTGGAACTCAAAATTTTAAAAGAAAGGAATGTTTAAAATAAATAAATAATTAAAAATAAAAGAAACTTGCCTGTCCATATCCTTTGACTACTTACCTAATAGAGAATGGATTCTATTCTTATAAAATTAAATAAGATCTTTTTATATCTTGGAAATGAGACCTTTATCAGAGAAACTTGTTGTAAAGATTTCCCCTGAATTATCTGTTTCTCTTCTAATTTTTATATTACATTTGTTTGTGTAAAGACTTTTAAATTTTGTGTAATAAAAATTATGCATTTTACCGTGATTCATTGTCTCTTTCACTTATTTAGTGATGCACTCTTCCCTGATCCATAGATCCTTGTTCCTTTAAATGTGACCTTTTTATATCTGGGTCATGTAAACATTTGGAAATTATCTTGGGATGTGGTATGAAGTGCAGGTCTAAAACCAATTTCTACAAGCCTGCCCTTTAGTTTTCCAAGTAGTTTTTGTCAAATGGTGAGTTCTTCCCCTAGTAACTGCTGTTTGGGGGTTTACCAAAAATTATACTACTAAGTTTGCTTCTGAGAGTTGAATACTTAAACCAGGGGTAGGGAACCTGTGGCCCCTATGACGCAGTTTTACTGAACAAATCTTTTTATTAAGGGGATTTGCTCTCTGAAGTTTGGATTCAGTTAAATGGCCACACTTGAGGACATAGAAGGCCACAGATTCCCCCCTCCTGACCTAAACTATTGCACTGAGCACCCTCTCTGTCTCTTTTTAAAAATCAGTATGAAATAATTTTAGTCATTCTATTTTATAGTAGTTTTCTTTCATGATTTCTTGAAACACATTTAGGTTACTTCTTTTGACCATTGTTTTCGGGTAACCCAAGGAATCTTTATGATTATTATTATTATTAATTATTTGTTTGATTTTAGTTTTCAACGTTCACTTCCACAAGATTTTGAGTTCCAAATTTTCTCCCCATCTCACCCCTCCTCCCACCCCAAGATGGTATGCATTTTGAATACCCCTTCCCCTAATCTGCCTTACCTTCTATCACACCCCCCCCTTCTCTTATCTCCTTCCCCTTCTATTTTCTTACACGGCAGGATAGATTTCTATACCCCAATGCCTGTATATCTTATTTCCCAGTTGCATGTGAAAACAATTTTTTAACATTTGTTTTAAAACTTTGAGTTCCAAATTTTCTCCCTTCTTCCCTCACCACCCACCCTCACTGAGAAAGCAAGCAACTCAATATAGGTTATACATGTGTGGTCATGCAAAACACTTCCATAGTAGTCATATGAAAAACAAACTATATTTCCCTTCACCCTGTCCTACCACTCATTTATTCTATTCTCTCTTTTGACCCTGTTCCTCTTCAAAAGTGTTTGCTTCTGATTACTGTTCCCACAATCTGCCCTCCCCTCTATCATCCTCCACTCTCTTATCCCCTTCCTCCCTATTTTCCTGTAGGGTAAGATAGGTTTCCATACCCAATTGAGTGTGTATGTTATTCCCTCCTTAAGCTAAATCCAATGAGAATAAGATTCACTCATTCTCTCTCACCTTCCCCCACTTCCCCTCCACTGTAAAAGCCTTTTCTTGTCTGTTTTATGTGAGATAATTTATTCCCTTCTACCTCTCCTTTTCTCCTTCTCCCAGTAAAATTCTCTCTCACCCCTTAATTTTATTCTCCAGATATCACCCCTTCATCTTCAACTCACCCTGTGCCATCTACCTATCTATCTATCTATATATTTATCTATCTATCTATGTATCTATCTATCCATCTATCTATCTATACATACATACATATAATTTTTTCCCTCCAACTACCCTAATACTGACAAAGGTCACATGAATTACAAATATCATCTTTCCATGCAGGAATATAAACAGTTCAACCTTAATATGTCCCTTATGATTTCTCTTTCCTGTTTACTTCTTCATGCTTCTCTAGAGTCTTGTACTTGAAAGTCAAATTTTCTATTCAGCTTTGGTCTTTTCATCAAGAATGCTTGAAAGTCCTCTATTTCATTGAATGTCCATTTTCCCCCTGAAGGATTATACTCAGTTTTGCTGGGTAAGTGATTCTTGGCTATAATCCTATCTCCTTTGACCTCCAGAATATCATATTCCAAGTTCTCTGGTCCCTTAATGTAGAAGCTGCTAAATCTTGTGTTATCCTGTTTGTGTTTCCACAATACTTGAATTGTTTCTTTCAGGCTGCTTGCAATATTTTCTCCTTGACCTGGGAACTCTGGGATTCAGCTACAACATTCCTAGGAGTTTTCCTTTGGGTATCTCTTTCAGGAGGTGATTGGTGGATTCTTTACATTTCTATTTTACCCTCTGGTAAAATATCAGGGCAGTTTTCCTTGATAATTTCTTGAAAGATGATGTCTAGGCTCCTTTTTTTTATCATGGCTTTCAGGTAGTCCAATAATTTTTAAATTATCTCTCCTGGATCTATTTTCCAGGTCAGTTGTTTTTCCAATGAAAAATTTTACATTGTCTTCTATTTTTTCATTCTTTTGCTTTTGTTTTACAATTTCTTAATTTTTCATAAAGTCATTAATTTCCATTTGCTCCATTTTAATTTTTAAGGAAGTATTTTCTTCAGTGAGCTTTTGGACTTCCTTTTCCATTTGGCTAATTCTGTTTTTTAAAGCATTCTTCTTCTCACTGATCTTTTGGATCTCTTTTGTCATTTGGGTTACTCTGGTTTTTTTTATTTTTTTTCTTTTATTCATTTATTCATTTATTTATTTATTTATTTTGATTTAGCAATAATCACTTCCATATGTTTTTGAGTTTAAAATTTTTCTCCCCCTTCCTCCCCACCACCCTCCCCAAGATGGCACACAATCTGACATAGGCTATACATTTACATTCATATTAAACATATTTTCACATTAGTGATGTTGTAAGTAAAAATTAAAACCAATAGGAAGAACCATCAGAAAGAGGAAACAAAACTCAACAGAAGAGAAAAAAAACAGCAATTCAAATTCCATAGTTCTTTCTTTGGATGTAGATAACATTTTCCATCACAAGTCCTCTGGAGATGTCTTAGATCCTTATATTGCCAGGAAGGGTTAAGTTTATCAATATTAGTCATCACACAATGTGGCTGTTATTGTGTACAACATTCTCTTAGTTCTGTTCGCTTCACTCAGCATCAGACCATACAAGTCTTTTCAGGTTTTTCTGAAGTTAGCTTGTTCATCATTTCTTATAGCACAATAGTATTCCATCACATTCATATACCACAACTTGCTCAGCTATTCCCCAATTGGTGGGCATCCTCTCAATTTCCAATTCTTTGCCACCACAAAAAGAGCTGCTATGAATATTTTTGTACATGTATGTCCTTTTCCCATTTGTGTGATCTCTTTGGGATATAGCCCTAGAAGTGCTATTGCTGGGTCAAAGGGTATGCACATTTTGATAGCCCTTTGGGGATAGTTCCAAATTGCTCTCAAAAATGGTTGGATCATTTCACAACTCCACCAACAATACATTAGTGTTCCAATTTTCCCACATCTTCTCCAACATTTATCATTTTCCTATTTCATCATGTTGGCACATAACATTTAAGGTGTTATTTTCCTCAGTATTTTTTTGGATCTCTTTTAGCAAGCTGCTGACTTGTTTTTTATGATTTTCTTGCATCACTCTCATTTCTCTTCCCAGTTTTTCCTATGCTTCTCTTACTTGCTTCTCAAAATCCTTTTTGAGCTCTTCCATGGCCTGGGGCTGATTCATATTTTTCTTGGAGGCTTTGGATATAGAACTTCGACTTTCTTGTCTTCTTCTGATTGTATGTTTTGATCTTCTTTGTCACCAAAGTAAGATTCTATGGTCTGACTTTCTTTGTGCTGTTTGCTCATGATCCCAGCCAATTACTTGAGTTTTAAACTCTTTGTTAAGGTAGGGGTCTGCTTCCAGTGTGGAGAATGTACTTTCCCAAGCTTTGGGGATTTTGTGCAGCTATTTTCAGAGATACTTCTAGGGACCTGTAAATTTTCACTTCTTCCAAGGTGGTACGATCAAGGGTAAAGTGTTTACTCCTTTCCTGGCCTGTGCTGTAGCCTATGAATGACCACAAGCACTCTTTTCTGCCTTGGAACTGTGAGGAGGATTCCCTGTCCACCACCACCACAAGCTCCACCACACTAGCACTCCCCCCCGCCCCAGGCCCACCACCAGAACTGTGACCCAAATCACAGCATGGGCAAAGCAAAAGAATCCTGTCTCAGCACCAGTAAAGAGATTCCCCTCTGATCAGCTATTCAATTCCCACTCTGTCTATGGGCCGAGAGCTCTCACCACCCTGGGACTTATGCCAGGACTGGGGCCAAACCAAGCTCCTCTCTCACTGTGGTCAGACAGACCTTTCCTACTGACCTTCTAAGTTGTCTTTGGTTTTTGTGGGTTGAGAAGTCTGGAAACCACCACAGTGCACATGATTCAATCCCCTGAAGACTGTTCCAGGTCCACTGAGGCCCAGTGAGACCCATGCTGAACTGCACTCCTCTCCCAGCCTGGCACAATAGACCTTTCCAATCAACCATCTAGTTTGGGCTGGAAATTTGTTTCACTCTGTCTTTTTGTGGGTTCTGCTGCTCTAGAATTTGTTTAGAGCCATTTTTTACAGGTATTTGAGGGGTTTGGAAGGAGAGCTCAGGCAAGTCACTGCTTTTACTCTGCCATCTTGGCTCCACCCCCCTAGTCCAAGGAATCTTAATGTAACTCTACTTGATCTACATTTCAGTTCAGTTATTTTTGATATGAGATTCATTACACTTTCTTCTATTTTTTTCCATCTCTTAGATTTGTTTTAATATTTCTAATTGTCTCATGGAGTCACAAATTTTTGCTGGTCCATTCTAATTTTCAAACCATCTGGTTTGGGTAAGGTCTTGTATCCCTTATGCTAAGCTGTTAATTCTCTTTCCAAGTCTTCCCTACAAATCTCACATTTCTTTTCCAATCCTTTCCTATGGGGCTCTTATTTCATTTGTA